GTAATTCAAATAATTCCCTGAGTAGAGGCCAACTATGTGCAACGTCTGCAACTCGCCTTGCAATTATTAATTTGATCTCTAATAATATAAATGGAAATACAATATGAAATAGCATATTTTGAGAATAGATATCAAATCTGGTGAAATGGCTTAGATATCAGCAGTGTCTGCTTGGCTTCAGCCCAACTATCTGGTTAAAATAGCCATATTATGACCAAATAATTTATCTGAATTTATAATGAGAGTGTCATCAATGATAATTCTAGAAACCTTTATTAGGTCATGAATCGCAGATGGGAAAATCATTATTTCTTCACAAATAGCGTGATATTTCAGCAATCGTATTGATCAGGAAATCAATATTAATAGCTCATGTGGAAAATCCCTCCTGTGTGTTCGCCATAAAATGTATTGAGTTGCTAATCTTAGATTGTCGGATATAAGTGAGAAGGAATGGAGAATTTAATGAGCTCTAATTGAGATATAATGCAAGTCATAGTGGAAGGGCCTAAGAGTCTTCCTGCATCTTACTGGATTAGTTCAAGGTCAAACTACGACAAAAAAGTATTCCATGTTTGTGAGATAGGATCATAAAAGCCAGACTTTTTGTAAAGCAGACACATGAAAAAAAAAGTGTCACAAAGTGAAATTCAGCAAATATGATAAGACTACCATATATCATTCTATATGAGAAGTAATCCATGTCATCACTGTCAAGGAAACTGTTGGATCAAATTTCACAAAATTTTGTCAAAACCTTGACTCCTAATGCATTGTAACACTGCTTAGAGCTTTCATGCATTATTGATGTCAAGAATTATGGAAAACCCCACGAATGTTTGCCAAAGTAGTCTATGTTAGACATTGTATTTGAATATTGTGTTCCTAGACTATTTCGTGTTTTTGTTAACAAAATTGTAGATAGCAGAAAGGAATAATTTGAGAATTTTCACTTTCAACAAGGCCTATCATATTTGAATAATATTTACCCCAAAATGAAAATTCTAAATTAATGCTTATATGAGTTGTGGATTTTGATAAAAACTAATGTTCAGCAACAGAAAAGTGTGCGAATGATTCAAAATGACTTGCTCATACTTTGGGTTTTTCAGATTTATCAAAAAATAGACTCATATTGAAATTTCCTGACATATGTCACCAACAACAAATACAGACAGATAGATATATTCACCATGAGGGACGCCATATTTGTCATAGTTGACTAAAAAATAATCACCAATGGGATATTGTGACTAAATAAAGTATAATTTTGTAAAGAAATTGCCAAACTGAGACCTAGTTCTGGCTGTAATTTATTTAAATTTCACAAAGTTTTGGTCATTTTATCTTCAAATAAACTTATTCATTCTCCTTTAATTCCCAATTGAATGTTCTTCTATCAGACATTATGTTGTTTACTGGTTTCATGACTGGGGATTTTGATGTGACATTCTGTGACTGTTTTGAATTTGTTTTTTATTTATCATTCTGGTAGTTTCCGACATTTCCGTTTGGGTTGGTCTTGTTTGAATAATCTGTCTGTTGTTCCATTGAAAACGTGTTTTGTCTCAGATTCCTGAATAATAAATATGATTCAGAACTGTTCTAAAAAGCTATGAATTCAAAATCTAGTCTAAATTCTTGTTTTTTCATGTCAAATCTGTAAAATTCGGATTCATGTCCATGGAATATTGTAGTTTTCATTTACATTTTGAAAATTCAAATCTTTCTTAGAATTGTTGACTGAAATACCAAAGCAAAGATGATTGGTATTTCTAAATTATATTCACAAAATTTTTTTATGGTAAAACTACAGAATGCAAATTTGTCAACCGAAAATTATGACAAGCAAATATGTCTCGGTTTGTTGATAACTTCCTGCCAGCCAGAATCACAAACTTACAAATAACAATACCTTCATTTATTGAGAACTAGAACAATTTGCTTAAGAATTTAATGTATTCCGATATGGAATTTATGAAAGTGTTCTCAAAGTGTCTGCTTTATTTATTTCATCTTTTCCAAACTATGATTAGTCTAGGAATGCAATAAATTTTATTTCTTCTGGCAACAGGAATTTAGTTTTAGTTGATAAATCCCATATTCATGACCTGAGGGCGTACTTTATCAAATGGTTACGTATACTGACGCCAGTTGTTAATGGAAAGTTTCAGAAAAGTTTTCTACGCATCTGCAGCTAATTATACTCAATGAAAATTTCATAGGTTATGCAAAAGATTTGGAAAGTTTCTGAAATTTTCAGGAAATAATCTGTAATGCTATGCCAGGTTTAACTTTTTTTTTTCTCAAGTCAATTGTGAATGTAATAATATTACATTTAGAGATTATTAAGGAATATATATTTAAAATGCGTAAATAATAGCAACTGCCAAATCGAGTAATCACCATGGCACATAAAAAAAAACTTTTTGATTGCGAAGGTTTTGTTATAATCTTTTTTTGAACCTCTGCATAAATTGTTCCGATTGGCATCTGGAAATTTTTTTTTTTAAACCTCTATCTGGGATTTTCATTTGATCATTCAAATTTTTTATATGTTTGTGGATTCGCTAATAATTCTGAGCTAATGGGAGAATAATTTCGAGTATCATGTTAAAAAATTCCAGAATTGTTCACATTGCTTTTGTTTTGTGAACTAGGTGAAAGGTGATGACAGAAAATAAACCTTTTCACAATTTAAAATTTGATTTGTAATTTTTGAAAATTTTTGGCCATTGAAAATATGAAATCTTGTAAGTTCCTCATAGTTTGATTCAAATAGGGTATGAACTTCATGCTATTGTTTCCCTCCTAGCTTATAAAACTTAATGCTATCAGTGAAGTATAGTTATTTTATCCAACTTTGATAATTGAATAACATAATATGGGGAAATCCAAAGTTTGACATGAATATATGTGATTATGTGTGAATTGGAATTTTCTGCCTCATAAGTAGCATTGAATAAATCTATGCGGAACATTTGATATTCAAAACCGAAAATTAATTCAAACCCAAAGAATAAGTCTAGGATATCACACTAATCAGGACAAGCGTTGTAATATGATTCCCCATGACTGGCTGGGTGTAATGTTACGGGCATTTCCTACCGACTTCCCTTGTGTTGTGGGTTGTTCTGGCATTCAATGGAATTTATTTTCAATCAACACAGTGGGGAGCTAAAAGAAGAATGAATAGCAGGCTCCAAAGCTCAAGCTGAAACATGCTCCCTAACACACTGCATGCCCACTTATCACCCAACACATATTTCATTCGAACATTCTCCTCATAGGCTGCTACATTAGCATGATTTAAGGGTTAAAATGAAGTTTGTATCACCTAACCAAATTATTGAAGTATCACTTATATCCTGGATCATTACAAAATGTATTTCATTATATGCCCTTGAAGCCTGTTAGCCCCTTCTAAAAGCTAATATTCAAATTTGAATTTGTAGTTAAGTGGAATCATAAATCTTTCGTATCCCACTCAAGGCTTCTCATATTATTTCAGTAAACATACCTTATTCTAGCTAAGTCATTCCATAGGTTATACTGGGGGTTTCCACCAGGTGTGGGACACACCTTTATAAATGTCAATACACATGAGTGCTATACAAATGGTCTGAATGTCATTTATTGAATCAACAAAACAGTAACTAGGTGTTGGCTCCCCTATGATTTGGAAATGAAATCGGGTTTTCTCACAGAATCTTGAGCCTGAATTAATTTGTTTCGCTTTCACCATGAAATGGCAAATGCTGTAAAACTGGGAGGCTTATGTCTTAGGATTCCAACTAACAAAAATTATACTGATCAAGTTTGGAGGGGAATCGACGTTATTTATTGAAACTATCAAGTGACTACAAAAGCAGAACTACTGACACCTGGTGGCAACTGAAACCTCTATTGTTATTCTTCGGAATGAATAACAAACTCAAAATAAAACATGTTATTTTCTGTCCTTTGACAACTTCATGTCAAAACAATTCTTGGTGAATTCCACAACGAGAAAATTCAAAACTCATGAATGAATGGATTGAGGGGTGTGCATGGGTTCAATTCAAAACAGTGCTCTAGGAATTTACTTGAAATATAAGCACTTTTCAGAGGAATAATTGAAGTTTTAATTATTAGTTTTTTCTGCAAGTCCTATTGACATAACTGAACACAGTTTATGCTTCCATACCATACAAGCAACACATACCCAAGCTCCACACCCATCACCACTGTTTTGTTTTCAAAATATATATTTCCCCTTTCTGAAGATGACGGTTTTAATATACTTTCGTCCAACTTCTGCTTTTCTATGTTTGATGCAATTTGTTGAGGAATATTTGCGAGGACACGACCCAGGGAAGGTTGAGATTATATTTGCATTTCATACCAAAGTGTTCGCATCACTATATCAACCATTCATATACAATTGTTCTTCCTTATTTCAGGACGGTATCTGAAGTCAAACAGTATAAACTGTGTACATGTATTCGTTATTTCAACCATTCGAACTCCACTAGAAAAATATAACTGACATTCCCTCCACATACCTTGCATGCCAGGTCGGCATCTAAAAAATCTAGTTTAGGCCTTTACTGGCATTTTACCCTCTTGAGTAAAGCATTTTTTATGCCAATGGTTTTTTTCAAAAACTTCAGTTATCTTGAAGTCCCTTTAACTGTTTTCCTTTTAATCAACCGCTTCAAGTCAACTGCACTTTCTATCATGTAATATACCACTATATTTCCATATAGTTTCAGTATCTTTTCACACTTCAGTAAATCCTGAAACTTTGCCCATAGATGAGCTTCCTCTGCCTCAGAATGCGCATGACCGTGGTTCAAAAAAATTATTTTGAAATCCAACAACTCCATATTTTATTTCAGGTTTAACTCCGCTTCATCTAGCTACAATAAACAATCAAGTGGAGGTTGTGAACTTCCTGGTTCGCCAACCCATTATCAACTTGAACATTGGTGATTCAACGTACGGACGGACAGCCCTACATCACGCGCTTGAACGCAGACATTCAGAGTGTTTCTACATTTTGTTGAAAATGTCAGCGAATGTGAATGCAACAACTTATGATGGGTAAGTTTATCTAGGATTCTGTTAAAGAGTTAATGCCTACTATATGGTACCTTGGGCTGAATTTTCCTCATTCACCCAGATTTGCAACTTTCGTATTCAAGTTAAGACTATCAGTTGTCGGATAGTGTCTAACATATCAGAGGTTCCTTGTTTGAAGCAAAGGCTTCAATGAATCTAATATCAGAATTAGAGATGTACCGATGTATCGGTATCGGTAGTGTATCGGTATCGGCTAAATGAAGAACGATATTTCCGATATGTTTACCTTTTTAATATTATCCAGAATGTCTTAAAAAATAAGTTAGAAGACTGATGTTTAAATTATTTTTTGCTTGGGGGGGAATCGTGAACTATGAGCCACACACGTCCCCACCCCCGCAAGTAGAAACGAGAATGGGATTCTGACCTGTTCTTAGTTATTTATCAGCCAAACGCTCAACTAATTTGGCTATTTTTAGTGCCAAATTTTTATATTGACGTTTTTAATATTACATAGTATTTATGAATAAATATATCAATCGAATATTAGTGGATTTTCTAATGTGTAAAATACAAAACATGTCGTCATATTGGAACAAAATCTTGCGCACGTAACTCAATGTATCAATTTGATAGGATAAGTAGGCTAAACATTCATTCATTTATTTTACCACCCTGGTAGCAAAACCTTATGAGCGGGGATAGCCATACCCATCGACTATTTCGAATACATTCTGAAAATATTTTCGATACTGAAATTCCGAATACATTGTAAAATCTCCCTCATAAATATAATTCACTTTCCTAAAATCCAGGGACATATAAATTAGGCTTTGATAATGTTATCATTGTAAAGCAGTCATAAGGCATCAGTGATATAAATGAAATTGCTCTAAAAAGGTAGACTTAATAGGCATTACGGTATTTATAACTATAAATTGTGGTGGTAATTGACAAGCACAAAAATAAGAGCAACTACGCTCCCAGTTTTAAATCATAGTGTAAAAAAGTCTGTAGTCTTTATTAACAGCATACGCATTTTCTGGCACGGGTATGAATTCTGACTGTGTTCTGACTAGTGTCATTTAGTCCATCGATATTAAGCTAAATTCCGACTCAATTATCTCTCTACACAGGTATTAAATATTGTGATTCCAATAATTTTAATTTTGTTTAACTATACAATTTCCTAGTAATTTTAATGCCGTGGTCGACCAGACTATCTCGAAATATACGATAATATTTGCGATATATTATTAATTAATTTCCTGCCCATCCCTGCCTATGAGTTTTCTAATTGAACACCGAGATTACTAGCGTCAGTACACAATGCCTTTAAATTAATTAACACATCTGAATCCAAACCATCAATTTTTCATGATGTATTATATCCTTTTGATATCTGAAATAATGTGTAGTATGAATAATGCTCAAAGATAGTGTTTTGAGCCGTCTGCCCAGCATATGTGAGGCAATATTTACATAGTATCGGAATATCGGCCATTTTGTAATATTGGCGTATCGGCATCGGCGTTTTTAGTTGGTATCGGATCGGTATCGGTGACAAAAGTGGTATCGGTACATCTTTAAAATCAGAATTAGCTTGTTAATATTGGGGTTGGCACCAGCCTGGAAGCTTACAGTATATTAGCAGCTGCTGACTAGATCCTGTTCACATTGAGAGAATGAAATAGATTGTGAAAATGAAATATCTCAACCTAAAGTCAATTTATTTGAGTCAAATTGACCCGAATTCATGTCCATAAAATGTATTCTAGTGTTTGTGAGTCGATTCATTTGACTGAAACAAATGAATTATTTTATAAAATATCCTGATGGGGTGTCTTGGGGTCAGGTAAATTTCATCACCTTCTGTGTGAGGTGGCCATTTTATTCCAGGTATTCAAAATTCACATTTCTCCTTGCTAAAATTGGTTATTTTATATTCTCGACAGTTGCTCTCCACTCCACCTAGCGGTAGGATACGAACTTGAACAAGAGACCAGATATCTGATGACGCGTGGTGCCAGCGTAACTATAGAAACAGCTGATGAAACAAGACCATGGGATCTCGCTCGTACACAAAAAATTAAAGATGCGTTAAACTGTTCCATGATGATGCAGCTGAGAAACTTGCCAGTAAAACAACGATAATGTCTGTACAGAGTAGACTGAATGCCGAGCCAGTGGCTGCAATGTTGGCTTTAGCCTTGCAATATTGCGTATGACCAATAAGACGATAGACGTGAGAAACGCTCTCTTCCCTGTACAATAACACAATGAAATGTAAAAATTTAATCAAATAATTGGTCCGGCACCAAGCGTCATTTCATTCCCTGCTATATTGCAGTGTCTTCATTGGTTTAAAATTCAATGCCAGCGGGATGCAGGCACTGCAGGGGTTGTGACATTGCAATAAGTTCAACTGACTAATACCATACCCAACCTGGGGTCACTAATTGTTGTATTTATCGTTTTTTTATTATTATTTTTATGGTGCACCCTATGTATATTATAACGTTATTGTTTCTGCTATTTCACAGAGTATTCCACAATCAGATCCATTTGTTTTTTACTGATATTTGGCTGGAATTTGTTTCAATCTATTATGGAGACTGGTTTTGGCTTCTGTTTCATTCTGCTATGTGTAGGTCAAGGCTGGCTGATTTTTTAATTTGAATTGAACCATTGAGCCATATCTGCCGTAAGAACCGCTTGTTTGTGATATTTGGATGAAACATAAATGATTGAAATTTGGAATATTAAACGAGATTTGATTGAAGTCAAAAGCATTTAAATTTGAATCACGAATAATTGCTGTTTGCCAGCTCAAGTTTCTGTGTCATTCATAGTTTCTACATGTATAAATTATACATCTCGCATGTCTGATTGCATCTGCTAATTAGTAGTTGATAACCCAAAAGGTTCGTGATTTTTTACCCTTAGGACATGAGATTCTAATGATTGAGAATTAACCCGTTTGTAACTCTCTGACAGACTTGTAAAAGTGAGAATACTATGTTCATATCAAGTATGGGCCACATAATTCTTCCTGTACCACAGATAAAGTATCTTTCACCCTAAACAATACTCTGATCAAGCAGCCACATAATCCTGGGGAGCTACTGGGTCTTGGCTTCCTAAGCAATCTCTCCATCCGGGAGATCAGCAATCCAACATATTAACATTTATCTTCTGCTTTCTTCTTGTTTTCTTTCAAAAACTGCTGTAAATAAATAAAGTGATAAAGTCTATCAATCTGATTATGTGAAGTAAAATATGTTGGGAGTGGTGGGGGGATTCAAAGGGTTCGCACGGGTAATCAACGAATCCGTTTTTAATTTGTACTCTACTTTTGAATACCATCACCGAATGTGATTTACGAGTACAATGGAGATCAGCAATGTTGGATAGGTAGAGCCGCAAAGCAGGGGCGGACACTTTCCATAATTTTGGTGGAGCGAACTTGGATCGCCTACCGCAAAACACCGCGCCGTGTATCGTCACGTAACAATAACTTGTCGATGTCATTCTCTAAGTATTAGAATGTCATTTTGCTACTCATATATCGAGTACCCAGGCTGCTTTGATTGTACACGGAACTTGCGCGTCACTGAACCAATTTCTTGAATTCTGCATGAATTAGCCCACGGCTCTTGCTAACAAACAGAAACGACAAATTTGAGGAGTCCTATTGGGTTATTGTTTCAATTTCTAGTTCTGCATAAAGCGCACTAGCGCCGTTTTGTAAAATTGATAATGCAAAACAAGGTAACAAGCTATCGTGCGAATTTTTTCCTAAATTTTACCAAGGAATTATCATTTGACTAGTAGAATTGCCATTATTGTCGATTTATTAAGTCATCATTTGAACTCGAAATAACATTCAGGATTCACGCAATGACTTTGTAGGGTTTTTATCTATAATTAAATACGAAAGTCGGAAATTCCCATTGCCGACTGTGACAGTCACCGCGATTACGCGCTCGTTAAAAGGACCGCCTTTTTAAGGTATAATGATTTTTCTGTCGCGTAAAATATTCAATCCATGACAGCCACGAGATTCTAAAATGTTCTTATATATTAATTTAATTGTGTGCAACGTAACTCGCGATTGCGACTTCTTACGTCAAAATAAAAATAGTACTAGACTAAAATACCACGGCGATCTGTGGACATAAAAATATGAGATAAGCTGCCTGATATATTTAATTTCGATACGTATTTTTGCAATCTTCCGAACTTGTTATCGCCGTTACAAAAATCTCGATAGCTGATATAAAATCCAGTATAGTACAATTTTACTTCATACAATGAAAATAATTATAAAGTATACTAGTAAATCAAAATAAAAATTCACCGCCTCGAAATCCACGCCGAACAGTCGCCGCGATTACGCGATTACGCCACAGAAGAGCCGACTTTTTCAACGAAAAATGGTTTTTCACTTGTGCAAAGTAATCAATCAAAGACCGATACGAGCATATTCAAAATGTCTTGATTTATTAATTTAATTGTCTTCAACTCTCAAAACACCACGGCAATCCGCGGACAAAAAATATGTGGTAAACTGCCCGTTTATATATTGTTTTGATCCGTATTATGCTATTTTGAGAATTCGATAAATTTGAGATGTACTTGTAACACTGACTCCGATTAATCGCAATGTTGCCACTCCGATTATTTTAAAAAAAAACTTTCAAAAAATCCGTAAATTTTTTGTCAATTCTCACGGAGAAATAATTTATTTCAGTATTATATATCAGTAAAAATTGATCAAATATACCTAAATCATCTTATATATCATCACAAACTGGGAAAAAGTCGGCCTTCTCAGTCTTGATTAATGTTAACACGAAAACAAATTAACACAAATGTTTCGACCTCCGATCTCTTTACTGAAGACGAGGTCGATTTATTACGCAATTTCTCTTCCGCCGTCATATTGTGACGTCTTTCGCGACATCTTGGCGCCGAGTAATCACACTTTTTGCTCATCGTGAATGCGCTCCATCAAATCTCGCAAGATTCAAAAACCTAAAAATCGGCACTCGTGCTTTTTCTGTTTTGCATGCTTTTCCTGATTAATATGACCATCCAAATAAAACGTTATGCATATTTCTTTGTTCAAACCAAAAAACAGTCAAGAAAGTATAATACTCCAGTAAAATATGGCAGGTGGTCACGAGGAGCGCAAAAAAGCATGGGCCGCTGAGATCTTTTCCAGTATCTTGAGCAGACAAAGTAGGATTTTGAGCCTGGTGCCAAATTACCGACGACTTCGTCATTGTAATGTAAATTCATTCCGTTTGAAGCATCAATCAACTGCAGAGGGATTAATATAATAAACCCAATGAAAAAGCTTGATTCAAATTGTGATTCTAATTTACAGTCAGATTTAAAAAAGAATCACTGTCACAATTTTGGATATCTCTTGATAACGAATACCAATCGCTAAGTAATCGAGCAATCAAACTGTTGTCCGTATTTTCAACGAGTTACTTATATTTTTATTACTCATATATAAAAATATTTTCATCACTAGCTTTAATTAAAGCGAAGCAAGGAAATTGGCTGCACGCCGCTGCAGGGCTACGCGTTGCAGAAACTTCCTTGAGGCATTGTTTGCAATCCTATATTGGCAACTGAACAGCAGCAAAATTTTCACTAGAGTTAATTGCGTTTGTACATGATTTGACATGTACGTGTTTTTTATGTGAGATGTTTTATGTGTGCCTTTCTTACGCATAATGGGTGCCCAGCACTGCATTTCATTACGCAAATATTTTTGGCCGTCACATTATTTGATAGTTTTTCTTCGTGTGAGCTGTTTTTAAGTGTGCCTTTTTTGTCTAGACTCTAGATGCATATTGAGTGCCCGACATTGTATTGTATTACGCAAATATATGTTATTCTTTTATGTTCCGGTCATTTCAAATTTTTGCCGGTCCGCGAGTACATTTAATTTAATTTTACAGGTCTGCCAGGGTAGAAAGGTTGGGAACCACTACTGTAAAGGTTAGCATTGTTGCCTTTCAAGCAATAGTTCCGGGTTCAAGATTTAAAAAAGAATCACTGTCACAATTTTGGATATATCTTGATAACGAATACCAATCGCTAAGTAATCGAGCAACCAAACTGTTGTCCGTATTTTCGGTTCGACGCATGTCTCTTAACCTAGTTTACCTAAATTCTTGTTCAGCTCGCCTATTTGCAGTAACTTTTCAAACTTACAGTTTAATTATTAAATACAAGTTATAACAGCGGGATGAGAATGACATGAATGGTCCGCGTCGATGGTGTAACCGCGTCGATGGTGTAACGGTTAGCATTGTTGCCTTCCAAGCAATAGTTCCGGGTTCAGTTCGTTTAGCTTGCCTTATTGCAGTAACTTTTCAAACTTACAGTTTAATTATTGAATACAAGTTATTTAACTGTGGGATGAGAATGACATGAGTCGTCCGCGTCGATGGTGTAACGGATAGCATTGTTGCCTTCCAAGCAATAGTTCCGGGTACGACTCCCGGTCGACGCATGTCTCTTACCTAGGGGCGGATTAAGCCCCTTTGGTGCCCTAAGCACTGAAGACTTTGGTGCCCCTCATGTGTAATTTAATTATAAAAACTAAAACCACATGTTTGTATTATCCATTACAAATAATCACAACTAACAGTAAATAAAACAACTTTTACAAACATTTCTAGGTTTTTTAACTGTTATATAAAGCCGATATATATATCGGCCGTTTACTGCCGATATGATATATCGGCGAACACGCAATATCGGTTGAGCTCTAATCCTGAAAGAGTGTGACAATAAAGATTCATACTTCCAGTCTCAACGTGAATCGAAATACCAAAGGATACAAGTCACAACTCAGAGTGAGGTAGCTAGAGGTTGCTAGATTGAAGGACCGCAAAAACTTTTAAGGAAGTCTCGCGGGCCGCAAGTCGGAGAAAACCCAAAAGTGATCGAATTATCGCGAGTTTACTTTATTTTAAATTTAATAAACTACGAGAGTTTACCGTTCTAATCAGACTATTATTATGTTGCATGGGTGGCGTGGCGTAAAAAAGATATATAAAGCCTTCAGTTATTTTAAAGTTAGTTCCCGAGAATTACCGTTGTATTTTGCGCATCTCGCATTTAATGTCGCTTCAAATTATATTCTTTCGTGACAGATATTACTGGAAATCAAACCAGACACTGTGTGATGGGCAAGGAAATACTTTTCCGCCGTGTTTCCTTATGTCACCTTTCTTGCGACACTCATTTTATCTCGGGATCTCGGGATCCCAAACCCAGTTGGATTAGCTAAAAAAAACTTTAAAAACGTTCCTTTATTAGATACAAATATACGCTAAAATTGTTCTGTGAACCGCACGGAATGTATCAGCATGACAGGGTTTGGACCACCCTGGCCTACTGTATCAAAAAACTCCCGACTTCGCTGACCACGAGATCGTTGAAATGCGATCGTGGAACCGCCACATAGTGTAAATAGTTCATTGGTCCAATTGTTCAAGAGGAAAGATTTTTTTTATAACAAAAATGCAGCAACAAGGTGAATACTAGAAATTAAAAACAACAATAATTTAAGAAAACGACTCATAGGCCCATTTCGCGTCCAATAAATAAGTTTTAGTGTTTATTTTTAATAAAGAAGGTTAATATGATACTTGAAGACAAAAAATAAGCATTTTGAAGTTGGAGTCGTCTGGTGAACTCGTAATATTTTAATAAACACCGATAAACTATATAAAATTCTGCTTTAAAATTTCTCTAGTGCCCCTCTTTGCTTGGTGCCCTAAGCACGTGCTTATATTGTTTAATGGTTAATCCGGCGCTGCTCTTACCCCAGTTTACCTAAATCCCAGTCCAGCTGCCTATTGCAGTAACTTTTCAAATTTACAGTTTAATTAAGTAACAGAAGTTATTTAACAGCGGGATAAGAATGACATGAATCGCCCGCGTCGACGGTGTAACCGCGTCGATGGTGTAACGGTTAGCATTGTTGCCTTCCAAGCAATAATTCCGGGTTCGACTCCCGTTCAACGCATGTCTCTTACCCTAGTTTACCTAAATTCTCGTTTAGCTTGCCTTATTGCAGTAACTTTTCAAACTTACAGTTTAATTATTAAATACAAGTTATTCAACAGCGGGATGAGAATGACATGAATCGTCCGCGTCGATAGTGTAACAGTTAGCATTGTTGCCTTCCAAGCAATAGTTCAGGGTTCGGACTCACAGTCGACGCGTGTCT